ATCCATTCATTACAGATCAATGACGATGCAGCCTATCCCATCATTACAGATCAGTGACGATGCAGCCTATCTATTCACTACAGATCAGTGACAATGCCGCCTATCCATTCATTACAGATCAATGACGATGCAGCCTATCCCATCATTACAGATCAGTGACGATGCAGCCTATCCCATCATTACAGATCAGTGACGATGCAGCCTATCTATTCACTACAGATCAGTGACAATGCAGCCTATCCATTCACTACAGATCAGTGACAATGCAGCCTATCCATTCACTACAGATCAGTGACAATGCAGCCTATCCATTCACTACAGATCAGTGACAATGCAGCCTATCCATTCACTACAGATCAATGACAATGCAGCCTATCCCATCATTACAGATCAGTGACGATGTAGCCTATCTATTCACTACAGATCAGCGACGATGCAGCCTATCCATCAGTACAGATCAGTGACATCACTGAAAATGCAGCCTATTCATTAAATAGAGACCGGTGACATCACTGAGATTGCAGCCTATCCATTCAATAAAGACAGGTGACATCAGTGGGGGTGCAGACTACACATGCACTAGAGGCTGGTGATGGAGAGATGAGAATGCAGTCTACCCATTCGCTACAGATCAGTCACATCAGTGGGGATGCAGCTTATCCATTCCACTATAGATCGGTGACATCACTGAGAATGCAGTCTATATATTTTCTACAGATCAGTTACATCACTGTGAGTGAACCCTGATACTGGTATGCTGATGGTTTAAAACACCCACAAAAAAAAAATGTATATGTGGATGCCACATATTAATGCATCAAAACCCCCAGCCAACACACATGCCAAGAATGAACGGGCCTTTAAATCTCACTGCACCTTTATAATATGTGAATAAAGCCATGCACGTGGATTCTGTTACTAATGACAAGCTCTGTGGGAGAACAGCCTGGGAAGGTGGACTCTTGTTTGCTCAGCTCATTAGTCAACAGGCAACACAAATTCCACCCTGCATCTGGGTAGCAGGCGTTGCAGGAGGTGAACAAAGTCATTGGGATGCTGCTCTGAAAAAGGCAATAATGACATCAGTAACTACAGTACATACCCCTTGGTGGGAATCTCACTGTGACATAGAGTGCAAACATCTGTTGCTTTACATCTACTTCAGTCCTAAAACTCTATGGAACTTATAAGCATTCGATAAAAAGCCGACAAGAAGCCTTTGGCAAGGCAAAATGGTAACAATGCAAATGTTTTCAATTACAACGAAACACCTTTCTCAAAACGTCTTGGCCGGATTCACATAGTAAACAGCACTAGCTGTCCTTCGTATCAGCTCGAGTCTACCTAGTGATAACCATTCATGCATTGTTTCAAGAATATTCGTCAGTCACAAGAATCTCCATGCATCTTAAATGGTATACCTTGGAAGAAAACATAAATGAAAAACAACCAGCCTGTGAAAGAAGTGCAATAAAATGTAAAGTGCATTTGTAATTGAAGGGCCAACTCAACCTAAAAAATATATATATATTTTTTTTGGAAGGTAGGTCCAACCACTGCGGGCCGCACATATCAACATGTTCTTGCTAAGAATGGAGGATCTGGCCTTTAACACGGTCCAGTGGGCACAAGGAATACTTCATGAGCCTGTATATACATATTGAACACCACAAGTAATAAAACGCTATTTATGAAGTTTAGACACAAACAGGGTATGAAAGAACCGTCAAACACTGTGAAGGAGACGCGTACATTAAGGCCTTGTTCACACAGGCGTACTTAGCGTACACCTGTATCAGGGCCGTGTTTGCATGTACAAGATGCACAAGTGTTCCATGCATCCCCATTCATGTCAATGGGGACGCAGCACCTGGACAAACACAGCCGCTACTCCCAATTTGACAGCTACGTGGTACAGAAGCCTGTCCCACATATAATTAAAGTGGAAGCAGCAGCTGTGTCTGTGCAGCCACTGCATCCCAACTGACATGAATGGAATGGGATGGGATAGGACTGTCTGCACATGGATGCACGAAACACTTGTGCATCCCATACGGGCAAAACACGGCTGACACATGGATCTTATACAACTATAGAAAAAAATAGGTAAAGGAATATATAGCCACAGGCTACTGGTTGATCTTATTCTCCATACTGGTTCGGTGTCATCCACCTATATTGAGCAGCTTAGATCCAGAAGGCAGAGTGCATCAGGTTTTCCTTTGATCCCTGATCTTGATGTACAGTTGTGACAACTGTACATTAAGATCGGGTATCAGGGATCAAAGGGTAACCAATGACAAATGGACCCTACAGCCTAGCTGGTTATAAACTGAAAAACAAAATGGGTAACTCTTATGTTCAAACTCAACATCAAAGTGTTTTATATATATATATACAGTTGTGTTCAAAATAATAGCAGTCAGACATCACTAACCTGATCAATCACTGTTTTTGGTAGAAATGATATTTCTACATGACAAATAATTTACTAGCAGGTGTAGTAGAGTAATAGAAATCCAACAGACCCAACAGTCATGACATGCATGCTGCTGATTCTGTGTAATTGAATCACTAATTGAAAGGGGCATGTTCAAAATAATAGCAGTGTGGAGTTCTATTAGTGAGGTCATTCATTCTTTGAAAAACAGGTGGCAATTATTGCCCTTATTTAAGGAAGGAAGGCAGCAAATGTTGTACATGCTGGTTACAGTGCATTTCTCTCTGAAATTCTGAGGAAAATGGGTCGTTCCAGACATTGTTCAGAAGAACAGCGTACCTTGATTAAAAAGTTGATTGGAGAGGGGAAAACATACAAAGAAGTGCAGAAAATGATAGGCGTGTTTATCGCATACCAGGGATCAGGGATCAGTTTGAATACATCAGAATATTTGAAGAGATCATGCTGCCTTATGCTGAAGAGGAAATGCCCTTGAAATGGGTGTTCCAACAAGACAACGACCCCAAACACACCAGTAAACGTACAACATCTTGGTTCCAGACCAACAAGATTGATGTTATGGAGTGGCCAGCCCAATCCCCGGATTTTAATCCAATAGAAAACTTGTGGGGTGACATCAAAAATGCAGTTTCTGAGGCAAAACCAAGAAATAGAGAAGAACTGTGGAATGTAGTCCAATCATCCTGGGCTGGAATACCTGATCACAGGGGCCAGAAGTTGGGTGACTCCATGCAACACAGATGTACAGCAGTTCTCAGAAACAGTGCTTATACAACTAAATATTCATTAAGTGATTCAAAGGAAAGCAAAATCTTCAAACATTTTTCAGTTTATATAGTGAATGTTTGAGTTTTTAAAGAAGAATACAAACACTGCTATTTTTTTGAACAGCCTAATATTCACTTTTCTTCAATTTTTTTTAGAAGAACAACACAAATTTGATGTATTTTTCTTCATGTTTTGATTTGGAATAGAATGTGTCGTGTTCCCAATGCATTTGTGTGTATGGAAATAAAAGCTATTAGAAGGATTTTGAGCTTTATTCACTTTTTTTCAACACACTGCTATTATTTTGAACACAACTATATATATTATATATACATATATACATATACACACACGCGATTGTGTTTTACCTTTCATTGCAAGTCTATAGTCAGCACTGACTGAATGAAAACAAAAAGACCCATCATAAAGCTAACTGAGCAGTTATTGAACAGGGATGTTCAAGCACATACTATGACAGATGGAGTCAAGAGGGGATATATGAAATACAATGCTCCAAAACAAGGAAAAGCAAGAGAATTAAATGTGTACGGCACTTGAACCCATTGCCACTACTGTACCTGGCCCTGTAAGAGGATTTAAATGCTGGGAGACGGAGGTGGGCTTTCCAATCGCTGTGATTGGCTGTCACATGATTGGAAGCTGTTGATCGCAAGTATGCACTAAGAGCTAGCTCTGACAGCCTAGGTACTGTGCTGAGTGTGCAGTGAGCATGTTCTCAGCAAAGAAAGAAGTTCCCCCAGGGACGCATATGTGCGGTGGCTCGGTGGTAAAGCCCATCTGCCCAGCAGCTGCATATATGCCTATAGCCAGCAGGAACAGAACAAAAGATTTTCAGCAAGGTTTTCAAAACACATAGCTGCTGAGGATACACTGCGGCTTCCTTTAAAGTCCAACTGAACTTTTAGTTTAATCATCTTGACACATTCCAGGTGCATCAAAACAGAAGGCGTTTAAAGTTTTACAGTTCACTTTTATTTTTTAGAAAGCCATCACAGCCTGAGCAGAAAAGTCCATACTCTGCCACCATGCTGTAGAGAAGAACTATTGCTGTCTGTATGGAAGCAGAGTTCACTCTGCACGGGTCCAACATGTCCTGTGCTGAGTCAGAGTTAGAGCTACCCAATCAGAAGGGAACATGAGCTTTGCTGATTGTAGAAAAATAGCTCTGGCTCAGCAGGGAGGATTTCAGAAGTCTGCAGAGTGGCGACTGCTTCCACCAGGAGAGCATGGGCTCTTTTCTGCAGCATGCTGGCAGGGGACAGGCTTTTCTACTCATGCTTTGGCTGCTGTTTTATGAAAAAAAACTGTAAGATTTTGCATAATTTTTGTGTAGAGGTAACTTCAATGTGTTTAGCTGATTTAAACTGAATCATTTGGACTTTAAATAATTTCAGTTCCACAAAGAAAAAAAATCTAACAGTAAACTTCCCTTTGAATATAATTTGGTCTCAAGAAAAGCAAATCACATATATATAGTATAACAGTCTGCATCAAAGTCAAGGCAGTCATGTTGCACACACTGGAGGTAATCACATTTAAGGGGGTATTGCAGCATAATTGATTAGCTGTACATATAGACCTGTAACACACATTTCCCTGCTGACTCAGTAACACACAAGTCTTTCAGGGAGACAATTGCCATGCAGTAGCTCAGCGGCCTTTCTGGAAGGCACTTTCACCACTTCTGACCACCCATGAGTTCCATCTCCTTCCTAGTGTGGAAAGGACAGGTGGGCGAGCATTTCCACCCTCAGTACCGGGAGGGCATCTTGTTGTCTTGGTCAGCAGATCCATCTGTGTGATCGACTGTCTGGTATGTACTTCGATCTCGTGACCCAGTGATGAATCCTGAGGAAACTGGATAGAGACAATGAAAAAAAAATCATATTAGTGGCAAAGATCCCAAATTATTCACATTTGTTAACAAGGACAGAAAGGACCATAGTCACCACTACAGCAGAAGCCCAGGATGGTCCTGAATTCCTGGCAATGGGAAATAAAGGGTTTAACTAGCTGTGGATACTGGGTGTGCTAGACAGTCAAGCCAAAAAAAAAAAAACAATCGATGTAAGCAGGGTCCTTTTGTGGCAATATTACACTATATAAGTTTTTTCTTTGATGATATGGTGGAGCAAACTAGGGAGCCACGGTGAGGACCTGAAAGAAGATCTTAACTTGGAGGGGCAGGCTATCATTGAGCTGATGAAAAGAGGGTTTAGGATTCCCCAAAATCCTAAAGGCTTTTCACTCACCAAAATCTGGTGAGTGTATTTGATGTTGGTGTGCATGGGTGATAGGTGGAAGGCGATAAATATATTTGGAATCCTTAGTTTTCATCACAAGGGACTTTATGGTGTTTTTTCCTGAAGATTTTTTGATATAAATATGCACTAATTAATATGGGACATTTATATCTTGTGATTTATTAATATTTGTATTTAGGTCTATTTTGCGCTGTTTATATATTTTATATATTTTGCGCTGTTTATATATATTATATTTGCCACCCTACTGCTTTCCCCCTGGCACTTGCTAGCAATTTCTGGCTGTCAAAATGATAGCTGCCAGTTGCTGTGTAAGGACCATCTGACACAGTGTTTATAAACACTGTGTGAAGTTTTGCAGAGGGGCATCAGTGACAGCTGCTAGTGTAAGCAAGCCCTGACATTTGTACTATTGTATCTGGTCTGTTTTTTCATCTGCAGATCAATGGGATGAGCTCCAGCCTGTATATGGTATGATGTAAGTTAAAGCAAGCAGACAAGTAGAAAAAAACAAAAACACCTTAGTTTACCCGAAAACTTCCCTAATTAAATGCCTTCTCCTCCTCCTCCCCTTAAAGATTAGGTTTAGTGATTTTTTTTTTTAATCAGCACTAGAGAAGGTACTTACAATGAATACAAAGTGTCTCTTGAGCTGCTGGCTGCTATATCCCTGGAAAATGTTCATTCTTCTGCCCCCCTCAGATATCCCTACAGCTGTCATCTTCCAGTGATTCAGGGGTTAACTCAAGCATTTGGACCTGTCACAGGCACTTGTTGCAATTTGCTGCCCATCTTTAGTCACATTTAAAATAATGCAGTGCGGGAGATTTACTAAAACTGGAGCACACAAAATGTGGAGCAGCTGTGCATGGTAGCCAATCAGCTTCTAACTTCAGCTTGTTCAGTTGAGCTTTGACGATAAAACCTAGAAGCTGATTGGTCTGTATGCAGAGCTGCACCCGATTTTGCACCATGAAGTTTCATTAAATAACCCCCAGTGAATGTCAACCCCGCAGAACTACTTACTGCAGAGGAGCATCAAATAAGACCCCGACAATCACTGGCCATAAATCACATGAATTCACTAAGCTCAAATAGCAAGATTTTTGACTTTGCAGTAGCAAAATCCTTTTCTTGGAGTTCCTGAATGCCTAGTACACACAATGAGAATATCGGACCAAAAAAAAAAAAAAAAAAAAAAAAAAAAACTTTTTCAGAGCACTTGTATGATAATTTTGGTCTCTAGTGCACAGCTTTTGACAGTTGATCAGACAGTGCAAAATAATCCAAAGGGACAAGCATGAACATTTTTCTCATAAGATAATAAAATTAATGAATATCGTGTAATAAGTACAGTTTTCATCCCCCCAAAAAAAAATCAAGTGACCATAACCACGCATGCTCAGAAACAAAACAATGTATTACATCATCGTGGGAAGCTGTATTCTGGGTTACGAGAATTTTTGTATCTATTCTTTTTCAATATGAGACTAGCATGCAAAAAAAAAAAAAAAAATACAGACAAATTGGACGATATTCTCATTGTGAGTACCAGGTTTAAGGGACACAAGGTAGAAGTAACTTTGGGAGATTGGGAGGACCAAAAGAAATCCAACTGAGGGGTTTGTGACATGGCTGGATGTAGGGGGTGCTGTGGTGGGCTGTGCCCCTCCTCATCTCAGAGTCCATGAGCCAGTTTGATGCAGATAGTTGATGTAAGGAGGCACACTGATGGGGGCAATCCATGTAAGGGGGGCACTCTGATGGGGACCCTGTTTTAAGAGGGCACGCTGTTGAAGACATCTGATGGGAGGGGGCACGCTGACGGGGGGACCTTGATGTAAGGGGGACGGGGGGACCTTGATGTAAGGGGGCACGCTGAACACTTGACACGCTGATGGGATGGGGGGGCACGCTGACGGGGGGACCTTGATGTAAGGGGGCACGCTGACGGGGGGACCTTGATGTAAGGGGGGCACGCTGACTGGCGACACTTGATCATATGCAAGGGGGCACGCTGACTGGCGACACTTGATCATATGCAAGGGGGCACTCTCACTGGCGACACTTGATCATATGCAAGGGGGCACTCTCACTGCCGACACTTGATCATATGCAAGGGGGCACTCTCACTGCCGACACTTGATCATATGCAAGGGGGCACTCTCACTGCCGACACTTGATCATATGCAAGGGGGCACTCTCACTGGCGACACTTGATCATATGCAAGGGGGCACTCTCACTGGCACTTGATCATATGCAAGGGGGCACTCTCACTGGCGACACTTGATCATATGCAAGGGGGCACTCTCACTGGCGACACCTGATGCAAGGGGGCACTCTCATGGCGACACCTGCAAGGGGGCACTCTCACTGGCGACACCTGATGCAAGGGGGCACTCTCACTGGCGACACCTGATGCAAGGGGGCACTCTCACTGGCGACACCTGATGCAAGGGGGCACTCTCACTGGCGACACCTGATGCAAGGGGGCACTCTCACTGGCGACACCTGATGCAAGGGGGCACTCTCACTGGCGACACCTGATGCAAGGGGGCACTCTCACTGGCGACACCTGATGCAAGGGGGCACTCTCACTGGCGACACCTGATGCAAGGGGGCACTCTCACTGGCGACACCTGATGCAAGGGGGCACTACTGGCGACACCTGATGCAAGGGGGCACTCTCACTGGCGACACCTGATGCAAGGGGGCACTCTCACTGGCGACACCTGATGCAAGGGGGCACTCTCACTGGCGACACCTGATGCAAGGGGGCACTCTCACTGGCGACACCTGATGCAAGGGGGCACTCTCACTGGCGACACCTGATGCAAGGGGGCACTCTCACTGGCGACACCTGATGCAAGGGGGCACTCTGACTGGCGACACCTGATGCAAGGGGGCAATAAAAAAAATAATAAAGAGTCAGCCTCTCTAAAAGTACAGCACATATCACATCTAGGAGATGGAGGAAAATCTCTTTGGGATGTCTTGGAGCACGACAGAGAGAAGGGAGATAAATGTCCAGTTAAGATGAAAGGAAGAAACCACCTTGAGAAGTAGAGGCCTGAGTGGCCTTAAGACAACCTCATATCTGTGTAGCACAAGAAAAGACTCCTAAAAGGTTTAGTCTGCCAACGGGAATTCACCTTGCAGAGGCGATGATGGCAATCAGGAAGGCAACCTTGTGAGTTAGTGTAGTCAGAGGAATATCCTTGAGAGATTCCAAGGGCAGTTTTTGAAGGGCTGACAGAACCAGGATGAGAACCCATGACATCACTGTTGCACATACAGATAGGACAATATGGGTGACACCCTGTACGAAGGCTCTCAGTGAGAGGCAGTGGTCTCTGAAAGAAAATTGCCAGGTCTCAGATTTGACCCTTTATGCCAATTGTTGATCCAGGCCAAAGAAAGGATTCGTCTCTGAGTACATCCTGAGATGGAAGCTCCTTAGTTCACACCATAAAAAAAAAATGCTTTCCAGGTGCAATCAGTTTATTTCCTAGCTTTGAGAGGTGTAGGGATAACAGAATCAAGCAAGCCCCTCTCTTTTAGAACCTGGGCTTTAACGGGCAGGCTGCTAAAGCCAGCAATTGAGATGAAGGATGGTAAACCGGTCCATGGGACGGAAGATCCAGGTGATCTGGGCAAGCCTACAGGGAGTGTGTCAGGAGTCTGATGAGGTCCAAGAAACACATCCACCTGAGTCAGTTCAATGCGACAAGTATCACTGTAATGCCCTCCCCCTAGAACCTGTGGAGCAGATGTGTTAGACATTTCAGAGGAGTAAAAGTGTAGATCATGTTGAACTGATCCCACAGCGTCACCAAAGCATCCACTTATATCACAGACAATCCCAGGACCTAGAGACAAACTTTTTCAGATTGTTGTTGGAAGCCAGAAGGTTCAAGTCCAGTGACCTCTAAATGCAACAGAAGTTTTGAAACCTCTATGGGTAAAAAGACCATTCCTAGTTTCAGCATTGTTGGCTGAGGAAATCTGCCTACCAAGTTTCCACGCCTAGAATGTACACGGGGACAGACCTGGAAAGTGAAACTCTGCACAAGCCAGAATCCAATTAGCTTCTGTTTGAGCTGCAAAACCTCTGGTTCCTCCCTATTGGTTGTTGAAAGCCACAGTCATGGCTTTTTCCAACTGAATCCTGATATGTTCACCTGGAATTGAGAGGTTCTGCATCGAAAAGAACCATTTGCTCATAGTTCCAGAATGCTGATGAAGATATGAGTTTCCTCCACCAACCAAATCCTTTGCATTGAGAGTGTATCCAGGACTCCTCCCTAGCCCATCATTCTGGCATCAATAATAAGAACCTTCCAGACCAAAAGGAGGAAGGATTTCCCAGACTCCAGGGTTGGGTTCATGAGCAACAATGCCAGGGCCAAGCTGATCTTTGGTTTCAGGCCATATGCGACTGTTCAGAGAATGTGCCTTCTTGTCCAACTCAGCAAAAATGCAGAGTTGCAACCAACTACAGTGGAACTAGGCATACAGAATTGCCCTGAAGGAAGCAACCATTGAGCCGAAAATCCTCATGAAAATGTGGAGAGTAGTATGAC